TCACTAAAACTAACTAGTCTAAATCCTAACATTTCTTAAAAACTAATTCCTAACTTTTAAAATTCTATCATCTAAATCGCTGGCTTAACTCTCAGGTAATTAAAACTAAGGTAAGTATTTTCTTAAGTCCAAGGTAAATATATGTATGGTAAATCCGGTATTTCAGGTAAGTATGTATATAAGTAAGTATGTATATAAGTTAAATTAAGTTCTGCAGGTCAGTATATTTAATTAGGATTAGGGTAAGTCTGGTATGTAAGTTAGGTAAGCATGTATATTAACCACAAAAGTTAACTGAAGTAATGCAGGTAAGTAATTCAGACAAGTGAACGTAATTTAGACTATGGTAGGGATAGCTAAGCTTAAATTTGCATTTCTCTTATATGTCTATTAGTATGGGTTTAATTTCGTTTCAAGTTATCTAATTATTTTCTTTTTTTTTCTTTGTAGGTTTATTGATATTATTAGTATTATTTTATTTTATTATTTATAAGTTTATTATGTTAATTTACTATATTATGTTGTGGCCATTCTTTTGTTATAATTGTTAAATATTTATTTATTTAAATTTTAAATGTTTATTTATTAAAAATAATTTCTGTTGAAGTTTCGCGAAATTGTTATTTTATGTTAATTTATATTAGGTTCCTTTCCGTTTCATTTATTTAAATTTAAGTTGTTTTAAGTTTTTTAGATGGTAGTTTATTGCATTTTATCTAGCTTTAGTTAATGTTAAATTGCTTGATTGAATCTTTATTTAGTTGAAATTAATTCAATCTAATTTAATTTAATTTTATGTTATTTATTTATTTAAATTATCAAGATTTCTTGTTTGCTTTATAAAAAAAAATCCAAGGGTGTTCATATTTTGTGGTTTAGCTAAGTTAAGTTTCTATATCATATATATGTATTTATCTACTTATATATATATATATGTATGTACATAAGAATATAAAAGAAAATTATTTTAGTTCGTACTATTAAATTTCCTTTTACTTTCTTTTGTTTACATGTTATTGTTTTAATTCTTAGTTAAAAAAAATTTTAATTTTAAAGATTT